ATGTCTTCGAGGGTGTGCAGCCAGAATGCTCCTCGAGAAAAAGGCTGACAAAGTTTCATCTCATATTTTGGGCATGTTGCCAGGAGAGGCTATTCCTTGGAAAGGGATATCATGCTTGGAAAGGTGGAGGGTCAGTGAAAGAGCAGAAGACCCTCAGCGAGATGGACCGACACAGTGAATGAAGCTATGGGCTGATTTAGAGATGATGAGGATGGCACAGGACAGCAGAGGGTTCAGATCTTTGTTCATACTGTCTCTATGAGTCACACTCTATTCAAAGGCACCTAACAACAACATACAACATTGAGGGAGCTCTGGTGGCCTTGTGGTTAGGAGATGTACTGCCAACTTACATGGTTCAAATCCACCAACTCCTCTGAGGGAGAAAGAAAGCAAGCAGAAAGTCTCCTCCCGTAAAGATTTAGAGCCCTCGACCCTCTAGGGGGTCACTACGATCCGGGACTGCCTTGTTACCAGTGGGCTTGGCTTTGACTTTATACTAACTGGAGGAGCCCGAGGGCCCCTGTGGGCTAAATGTTGGATTACTGAAAGAAAGTCTGGTGTTAAAAACCTGCCAGCCATTCCTAAGGAGAAACACGAAGCAGGCTGCTCCCAGAGTCACAGCCCCAGAGCCCGACAGGGTTTCTAAGCCTGCGCTGTGGGGTTGCAGTGAGTCAGAATGCACTAAAAGGCAGTGGGCTTAAACACCGCTTTGAGGCTGGTGGTTCAGTGGTACAACTGTCACCGTCCACCGGGCAGGCTTGGATTTACATCTCAGGCACAGTGGAGGCCTGCATGGTGCCATGATGCTGAACGAGCGTCAGCAGCGAGTCTAGACTAGGATGGTCGAGGAGGAAAGGCCAGAAGTCAGCTAATAAAAACCCAACGAAGTATTACGGTTGGATCCTCACCCAGTCACAGGTATGGCACAGCAGGAAGCAGTGTCTCGTTCTCCTGGGGGAAGGGGAGGGTTGCCATGACATGGCCACCTCAATGGTAGCTAATAACACACTACCTGATTCACAGCCCATGTCCCCTCCCTGACCACACATGCTTCTCTGGGACAAGCATCCATTCTCAGTAGCTCTATCACTACTTGTGCTGCCCCAAAAGGGCACTAAAACTGGAACCAGAAGGACCTGGGCCCCTTCCCAGTGGTGTCTGGCACACAGGACTCCCAAGTATGCTTCCCAGTACTAAACTGGAAATTGGAGCACTTGCCCCGACTCCTTCAAAGAAACATTTATTTGAAGTATATTGCTTAGTGATGCCAGTAAAAATTAAAGGACAAATTCCTCATTTTCTACGCACAGGGGGGCTTGGCGTCCTCAGTCACAGCAGTATTTTGTTCTTTCGAAGGAACAAGTGTCAGTCTATGCTCTTCACGGCAGCAGTTTTCACGAAGAGGTTTGTTCCAGCAGGATGGAGAACTGGGGTTTGTCTACCTCGATGCATTGGGATGACAAAACAGCTTCCAAGGCCAGAAGAGACAGTGTCACCTTTTACTCATTGTTTTCCAAATGATACTCTGAAACTGAGTTCTGGCACGCTACGGCTCTTAGACCAAAGGTATCATTTATTTGACTTGAAGAGGTGTGGCCCGGGAATTAAAGATAGCCCAGGAGTCCTCACGTCTGGTGGGCTGACCCGCTGACTCAGGCAAGGGAGTCTGACCGCAGGAAGTGCTTGTAACCGGGCTGGGCACAGTGCTTTCCACTCAGCATGTCCTTAAAGGGAGCTTGTCTGGGTTCTTGTCTTCAAGCCCCACTTTCAACAAGCATTAACCATGTAGCCAGAAGTCAGCAAGAGAGTTATGCTCCCCTGTGTGCGATTACGTCACCTTCCTAATTCCCAGGTGCACAAACACCCCCACAAATCAGAAAACTCTCGGTGTGCAGATGAGCTCTTCTGGCAAGTCTTCCCCGGAGTGGAGGAGGAAGAGAAGCCACACTTTCCCAAATGTTTAGATTCTGGTGTCATTAAACACCAGCGCCTTGAGGAAGTGTGAGGAGTCAAGTGGCAGTTGTCAGACACTGGCGAGTTGACGCTAACTTCCAGTGACCGTGGACATCAGCAGGAAGCCTTCTCGGGTCCTCCACCATCCTTACATGCCGGCTTTCTGAGCCCATTGGGGCAGCCACTGTGTCGCTCTCATCTTACCGAGGGTCTTTTTTTTCTTTTTAACATAGAAAAGGTTTTAAATGTGTTTTTTTTCACTGTTGCACATTTTCTTCCCCCACCTCTCTCCCTCCCTGCAATGCACCCCTTGTTCCAGACTGTTGTCATAAGATGGTCTTTCTCTTTTAAGTTGACCTTCTACCAAGCGTGATATCCTTCTCCAGTGACTGGCCCCTCCTGAGACTGCGCCCACCGCGCGCATGTGAGGAGAAGGTAGGTCAGGCCAGCCTTCTGGTTTCCTAAATAAGGACAGAGCAGGGGCCTGTACTAGCTGGGTTAGCTGGGTTGCTAACTGAAAGGCAGGTGGTCTGACAGGGCAGTTCTCTCTGTCACTACTTAGGGCCTCAGAGACCCTCCTGAGCTGTTCTACTCTGTCCCACAGGGTCGCTCTGCATTGGAACCGACTTGACCCTGCAGTGACCTGGGGCAATGGTTCTGTTTGCTGCCAATGTTTGGAGAATAAAATATGCAAGGCAGGTGAAGGGAATCCAAGTGAAGAAAGAAGCCAAGAACTCAAACAAGAAGGGAAGAACATTTATGAGATCAGTTCACTTACCCACCACCACGAGACCCTTCTGCCTCTCTGGCAATGCACATAGGAGAAAATTACAGATGCTCCTGGGCAATGGAAGTTGGGGAGCCCCCCAGATGCAACCAGGAGACACCAAGGTATACACTGTCCTTGCGGGCCATGGGACCATATTTCTCTACTTCCAGTGGCTCTCTTAACCAACATGGCTGCAGAACCAGCCTCTACAGTTTCATTTACAACAGAACTGCTAGCCATCAAGACAGGCCTTGACTCTAGAAATATCTGGTCCACGCTGCAATAATCTAAGGAGCCTTGGTGGGGCAATGGTTAAAGGTGCAGCTGCTAAAGGAAAAGTTGATGGTTCAAACCCACCAGCAGCTCCATGGGAGAAATGCAGCATGGCAGTCTGTTTCTGCAAAGATTACTGCCTTGCAAACACCATGAGGCAATTCGACTCTGTTTTGTATGGTCACTCGAACTCAAGAGTCAATCTGATAGCAAAGAGTTTACTTTTTTTTTGCTTTTCTAATAAACTAAGTTATAGGTACACTTTCTCCAAAGGTGATTCTTTTGAACAAGTCCTGTAATTTCTGCCATTTTCATGGTAAGGAGAGGAGCAATCGTTTTCAATGCAGGGGAATGTGGGGTATTGTAGTGCTAATTTCAACTCACAGAGACCCTAGGCTGTAATCTTTCCAGGAACATCTCACCAGAGACTCTCCCTCAGAGCTTCTGTGTTCGAGGTCTGCAGGGGCACATTTAACTGAGCATTTCACCACTGCGCCACCAAGACTCTGTGCTCATTCAAACCCACAGCCACTGAGCAAATTCCAGCTCATGCTCACCATTCACTGGGTTTCTGAGGATGAAAATCTTTATGGGAGGAAACTGCCCATAGTCGTTCTCCCACAAAGCGGCTAGTGGATTTGAACTGCCTACATTTTGCTTCACAGAGCAATACCTAAACCACTATGCCACCAGAGTTCTGTTTTTAAGGGTACTATATATGGCCTCATGGCAAGAAGCTGTGCTGCCGTGCCCCCAAAAGCACGTAGTTAGAATCCACAAGCTGGTCTGTGGGAGAAGGATGGGCAATCTTTTTCCACGCAATTAACTGCTTCTGAAAACCCACCGGAGGGTCAGCTATGGGTCAGTTCCAACTCGATGGTACACAACAAGAACAACATATATACATATGGTTCAGTTGGAGTGTCTCACCAAGATGTCCTCTGAAATACAAAGATCCCCCAATGGTAAGTGGGGAGAAAAAGAGTAAGCTGGGGGACACTGTTTCTGTGACAAAGTCCTTGTGGGGACAGTGCTGCTGCAGCTCTGCACCCCGCGGGCCTCGTTTCTCCACATGCAGAGCCCTCCTAGGCTGCTGCCTGTGGGAACACTTGCGCTGGACAGAGCAGGCCTGCCAGTGCTGATGGGTAGTTTACTTTTTTTTCCCGTCCCCACCCTACTTGTGGCCCCAACATAAAGCCCGTGGCCCTCGCTGACCACAACAGTGACTCACTGAGGGACGGGAATATTGGAGATGGATGGACTAAAATTTCATAAACACGGTTTGGAACGCAGTGCAGCAAGAGTCTGTCTTTCTCTTCATTTATGTTCTGGAAGCCCCTCACCGGTTTGTGTGCAAATGAAGTGATCACCTCGCTGTCTGCGCCTTATCTCCGTGCGAACGACATGGGCCTTACACCAGAACTGTTTTGTCTAATGCCCTCCCCTGCAGCACGGCCGCTGTGTGGGCCTGCTAGCCACACGTAAGAGTTACTGACAAGATGTGGATGGTCGTCTGAAACTCTGTGGCTGTCATAGGCCATCCTGTCCCTCCTTAGCACACATGTGTTTGACAGCAGGAGGCGGGAGCATGGAGTTCTGGGCTCTAGAGTTTAAGGAAGACCGAAGGGATCATCACTGGCGTGGCTACTGTCAGAGCACTGAGGAGTTCCACCCTCCTGCCCATTTTGGTAATTAACTAACTACTGGTTTCACACAAAGGCGAGCCAGTCAACCCAAGGTCCTGCATACTTGAGAGCTGCTGGCAGGAGCTGAGACAAAGCTTACTTTTCTTTCTGCTCAGGAAACAAAGAGTAAAGGCACCCACAACCATACACACTCTAGCAGGAGCGTGCGCGTGCGCGCTCTCTCTCTCTCACGCACGCAGCGTCTCATAGAGCAGCCCGTCCCTGCACATCTCTCTCCATCACTGTCCAGCACTGAGCCCTCCTGGTTCACTGAGTGAGTCACCGACGACGCCTCATCACCCCTGGGCCGGTCTTACCTTAGTGTTCCTCCTCAGGCTGCGGAGAATATTCCTCCTCCTCGGGTCCTCGTCCGTCTCGTAGGGGATGACGGCGTTGTCCCCTTTATAACCCTGGGACGCCTGGTCCTCCTCTTTCTTGCGGATGGGCCCCAGCTCGTCGTCGCTGCCCACGCTGAAGCTGGTCCGGTAGCTCGCAAACCTCCCGAGGCGGGTGCATCTTGTCCTATACAGCACCGGCTTGCAGACGATGGACACCTTGCGGCCTCGCTCCAGGGAACTGGTGTCCATCTCGCTGTCTGAGCCGTTGCCGCTGCCGTTGGACTGGGCTTTGTTGATGTTCCGGATGGTGATGATCTTGCCCTGGGTGCTGTCGTGGGGCACGGAGTAGATGTTCTCTTCTTCGTTCCTCGGCTTGACCACCGCATCCATGGGCTCGGCATAGTCGGAGGGGTCAAACCCATCTGGAGGTAGCCAGGTGCTCGAAGACACGGACTTCCTCTGTCCATCTCTGTGACCTTGCTCTAAATAGGACAGGTCCCCCTTGGTGATGTCAAAATGGACAGGAGGCTTTGGTTTGACTGGCGGAGGTACTTTGTTGTTCAGTTTACTCTCCAAGCTGCTCATGAAGAAAGACAGACTGTCCCCCTCCAGATCCATGGAGAGCTTGGAATGGTCCTTGGACAGAGAGGGCAGCGGCGTGTCTTCTCGGAAGAGGCTGTATGACGGGGGCTCGGTGTCCTCCTCGGAATCCTGCAGGTTGGAGTTGCAGAGTGGCGAGCCTGCACGTGGCGAGTTGAACACCTCCTCCGTGGTGCTGCAGGCCTCGGCGGCGTTATCGTACATGTGTGTGGCCTCGATGATGTTCTTCTTCTCCACCACGTCTTTGAAGAAGGGGTGAAAGAGCTCGAGCTTGTGCTGCGGCTGGCTGCAGGGGATGCTCGTGAACCTGCCGTCGATCTCCTGGGCGATCTCCTCGCCCTCGGTCAGCTGCTCCCGGCTCAGATCGTTGTCCAGGACGTCGGCGGCGCCGTCAGTCAGGGCCACGAGCTGAATGGGGATGATGTCCTGCACTTCACAAAGAAAGGCACGTAACATGGCCAGCGAGGCCTTACGTTTGGCGGAGTAAAAAACAATGTACCCATGAACCAACCGGCTTTTCCTGATGCTAAACGAGGAATGGTAGGACAGGATGGACAGTTCGATGCGCTTCCTGTGTGGTCCGATTGGCAGTTCAAGTAAAACAGAGTTGCTGCTCCCGCAGTGGGACGACTTACAGGTTTGGGACTGCAGGACGGGGACGAGGATGTCGTCGGCACTGAAGGGATCGCCGCACATCAGGCACATGACGATGCGCAGGTCCACGTCGGCCAGGTCCTTGATGCTGGCGGTGGAGCTGACCAGGTTGAGGTTCCGCTTCGAGTCCAGGAGGCCTTTCAGCACTTGGCTGATCTGCTTCTCGTTGATGTTGCGGCCGTAGCCGATGCCGGCCGAGGCCGGGTCGAGAAAGACGCACTGCAGTTTGCTGGCTATCTGCTGGCCTTGCTGGATCAGGCTGTGCAGGGACTCTCCGCTGGTGTCGCCTCTCTTGTTGACCAAGATGAGTGTCAGGGGGAGATGGACCAAATGGTTGTCCCGTCGGCCCAGGGTGGACTCCCGGCTCTTCTCTATACTCTCCACCACATAGGAGAGAGACTCCTTGGAGTTGTAGAGACAGAGGCAGCCGTGGGGCTGAAAGGTCGGTGTCTGAAAAGAGTTCACCGGAAGCCGGACGTTCCCCTCGATGGGCCTCAGGGAAAGCTCATACATCTTGCCATCAATCACATACTTGTCATCGTTGGTACAGAGGGCTCGGATTTCGTTGGCCAGCTCCCGGGCCAGCCCGTCTTTGCCCAAGATGACCAAGTTGATCCTGTCGATATTGGGGTCGGAGAGGGAATTCTTCTGATTGCGGTCGGACGGGCGGCTGAAGCGCGAGCTGATCAGGTGCTCGATCTTGGCGTCCACGCAGGCCGGGCAGCTGGGGCACGTCTCCTTGGTGGGGTGGTACACGAAGTGGATGTGCTTCAGGATCAGCGCGTCGCGCTCAGCCTGGAGCTTCTGCAAAGCTTTGAAGCGCTGCTCCTCCCCCAGGACGTCCTGGATGACGCCCATCTTCTCCTTGCTGGGCTTCGCGTCCAGCTCCAGCTCGTAGAAGAGCTCAGAGCACTCGAGCAGCAGCTCCTGGAACTCCTCCTTGGCCCGGTCTATAATCTGCTTTTGGTGTTTGCTGTAGATATCCATGTACACAGCCTCTTCCAGCCACTGGTAGAAGTCCTCGTTCATGATGAAGCTGCGGGCCTCCTCCCAGGGCTTGCCGGGTGTTATGAAGGGGGAGGTCTCCAGGTTCTCTTTAAACGCCCTCCTCATCTCGGCTCGTTTCCTCTCGTTCCTCAGCTTCTCCAAGTGGGCCTCGTACAGCTGCTCGGCAGGGAGGGTGTCCATCAGGTCGAAGGGGATCCGCTCGTTTTCCATGTTGTCGATGTGGCTGGTGGCGTCCCAGGGCGTCTCCTCGAGCACAACAAACCACTTGAGGAATTCAGGCTTGGTCTCCAGGAGCTTTTTGGCTTTTACGCAGCTGAGGTGGTCGATCTCGTCCAGGTTGGGCACGAGGGCTTCGAAGGCGAGCGGCAGGGCGGCCAGGTACAGCTTGCGCCGACGTTCGATGTGCTCGTGCTTGAGGCGGTGGGTGTGCTGCAGGAACAGCTTCTTGGCCTTCTGCGTCCCCTCCAGGTAGACGTAGTCCTGGTACTCGGGCGAGGCCTGCATCTTGCGGCTGATGCTCAGCCAGTTCTCGTTGTGGTTCTTCACGATGCGGCTCACCAGCCACTCGTACTTGTCCTTGGCCGTGGCGATCTGCTGGCTCTGCTGCTTGAGGGCTTCGAAGTAAGGAATGATCTTCGTCTTCCCCCGACTCTTATCGATGAGCTGCACTAAGGTGCTGAAGGCCAGGTCCACGTTCACGTTGGAGCGGGCCGAGGTCTCCACGACCTGAAGGTTCTTTTTGCTTAAGGCGAAAGTGTGTGCATCACGAATGTACCGCTCGACGCCCTCGTCACACTTGGTCAGGACCACCACTATGGGCTTTTTTGTTTTTGCCAGCTGATTGTAGAGGTTGGACACAAACTTGAGCTGGTCATCAAAGTTCCTGTTCATGCCCCTGCTCACGTCAATGCCGAGCAGGAAGCCGTCCACCAGCAGCTTCCCGTCGGGCATCTGCTTCTGTTCAAAGTCCTGCTCCAGCCCCAGCTGGTCCGTGCAAAAGTACATGAGTTTCTCGGCCGAGGCCAGTTTGGTGGCTGCCGCCCTCTTGATGTAGGGCTGCAGGGCCGTGCTACGGTGAGGCTGGAAAGTCTGATCGTCAATGAATTCCGTCTGCTCCACGATGTGCATCTTACATTCCACGCAGTCCTCCAGGGAGCGGCCGACTTCACCCCAGTAGAGGAAGTGGTCATTGTTGACCACGCGTCCGCCAAAGTCACTGGTGCTAAGGACAGAGGTGTGGTCCAAGTGGAACTCATCGGCACTGGGCCGCACAAAGCGGTTGCACAGGCAAGACTTCCCAATGCCGCACTGGCCCTTCTCCTTCTCGGTCCCGGACAATCCCACCACGCTGATGTTGTAGGTGGGAATGCGGACATCTTGCTTTCTTGCCATCATCATCGTCGACACATCCTGCCAGGGTCCACCACATCCAAGATCAGATTCGTGATTCCCAGGGCACTCAGATGCTGCACGTCGTCATCAGTGAGGGCCACCAGCCCCAGCAGCCAGGGGCTCAGGTCCCATAGTGCTGACACGCCGACACGAGGTCAGTTCTCGCTGCGTCTCATCGGCAGATCACCAACATTTCCTCCTGGATTGGGAGAAAAGGAGAACCATCAGCACCGTAATTTTAGAACACAATTATGAGCACTGATCTATGACGAAAATCCATTTTTTAAATCTGATAAATGTTTAGCAAACAGCAAATGTGCCAGATCTGTATGCTGGGTGGAGATGTGAGTGAATGAGACAACCATCCACTTGTCACCAGAAAGTCACAATCTAAGTGCTAGAGTCAGGCTGTGGGGGGCTCCCAATGGCCAAATGTGAGGCCACTTATACACGGAAACAACTGAGTGGACTCATGAATTACAAAAGCAGCTGCACTACTTGGGCACGTTATAGCCTGGATATACAATAACAGGGAAGCAGCAGATAAACACAAAATGAAGAACGTTCTATTAAGACAGGGAGATTGTTATGTGCTGTTGAGTCCGAACCAAATCACAGCCGACCCTCTAGTGGCTTCTCAGAGGCTGGAATCACCTAGGAGGAGACTGCCTGTCTCTTCCCCAGGGAGCATCCAGTGGATTTGAATCGCCCGTCTTGAGGTTGGCAGTGCAACTCCTTACCCACTAGGCCATCAGAATTCCCTAAAACAAGGAAGAGGTTTTGTACGAAAAGGAATACCTAGACAAGGTGCTCTGGTGGTGCAGTGTGTTAGATATTGCTCCGTTATGTATCAGCCACCAGGCTTGCATTCTCCAAGGATGCTCAATCTGAGGGTAAGTGTTAATGGGGAGAGTCCAGAATTCTGTATCTCCAAACACACTGCTTATTAGGTGTAGGAGAGAGAGAGAGAGAGAGATAAAAAATACACCCAGTAATTTAACTGTAACAAAGCCTGAGACACTTTGCAAGGTGCTCGAAACTGGCATCAGCAGATGGACATCCGGTGCCTGCAGGTGCCTTGGCTGAGGAGGAAGCAGCAGCACTGGGTGCATTACAGCAGGAACGCACAACCTCAGCGTAAGCACAGGCAGCATCAGATAAAGCAACTAAGGACGGTTCTACTGACCCAGGGGAGGAGGCTCTGGGAGGGAAATCTCAGATTAGATAAAGAAGGGCTAGGTAAGTGTTCTAGTGTAAAGGAGACTCAGGAGACATTGTAACTAAATGCAACTGCATGACCCTAGATGGATCCAATACTGGAAGGGCCTCGGGCTACTTCTGTTCACAGCACGGGATTCTGGATGGGCTGCTCAAACCAAACCCAACACACAGTGCTGATGTCCATTCCGACTCCTAGCAACCCCACAGGACAGAGAAAAACTGCCCTATGGGAGTGCATCTTTCTCCCATGGAGGAGATTCAAACCACATACACCTCAGGGCTGACGGCACAGCTCCTTCCCACTCCTAAACCACCTCGGCATGAAATGTGCAAAGACCTCCTGCTTCCTGCAGCACAGCCTGTCTGAGGGAAGCAGCTGGAAGACCGCGCTGCAGCAGGAGGAGCCGGGTGGGCTGGCTGGGTTAGTGGGTGCACAGGAACTGGCTTCCAGCCACTTGAGGAGTCTGCAATCTTTCCTGTAGGTGATGGGGAACCACAGAATGTGGCTGTCAAGTGGCACCTCAGTAAAGTTGCGGTTTGAACAGCTGAAGCAATGAAACACTGGTAGAGGCCTTCCAACATCTTTAGCCGCTTTCCAGCTGGGAGGCAAATCTGTGTCGCCTTCGGCTGCCTCTTCACAGAGGTCTCCCGGCTCTGCAGCTCATCATGCTGCCTGGCCTTTCTCTATGGGCGCCAGCGCAAGACTGTGGAGCCTGCAGCTCAAAGCATGGTCTTCCAAGATGATCACAAAGAGCAGAATATAAAATAAAACGAACGGTAACCTTCTTTTGATGTTTATGTGTGTATTGGACGAATCTAACATTTCCAGGCCTTGTGTCCTAAGATGTCACAGAAAGTCTGATCACTATCCATTCTTTGAAGGAGACAACAGGGTGGGAGAGGAGAGTTGTCCCTGTGCTGAGCCGAATTTCTCAGATAAACCAGAAAGCCATCCTTCTGTGGAATCAAAATGCATGGAAATTGTCTATTTCAAACAGGGATCTCAATGACTTAAGTGATGCATCCAGCAATGTGATGGTAGGTCCTACGAACCAAGTTCCACACTCCAGCATCATGAAAGAGAAAAAAGAAACCACCCCAATCCTCCACTTCCAGCAGACTGTTCATACAACCAGAACTTAGAGATGCTTATGCAGACCTACAGGCATCTGTCTGCCAGGCATGGTGGCTGGTGCATTACAATAATGTTAGAAGCTATGCCACCAGTATTTCAAATGCCAGCAAGGTCAGGTTTTAGCAGAGCTTCCAGAATAGGAAAGACGTGGAAGAAAGGTCTGAAGATCTACTTCTGAAACACTGACTCACTTGTGTTGGACACATCACCAAGAGGGATCGGTCACTGTGTTGGACACATCACCAAGAGGGATCGGTCGCTGGAGGAGGGAGAAGGGAAGGCCACTGAAGAGTGAGGCATACCCTTGGTACATGGACGGACACAGCAGCCATGCATGGACTCACACATGCCGGAGACCACGAGGATAAAAAAGAGGCAGTGCTTCCCCAGACACAGGGCCAAACACCATCAGGGCTGACTCAATGACCACTATTGACCTAATCATGGGGACTTTCTAAAGTAATCCACATGCCTCCTGCACTCACCTGAACAGAAAGATTTCTGCAAAATCAAAGGGCATATGCTTTGGCATGTGACTCATTTCTATCAGAGTCTGGCTGATCTCAAGGTCCCTCACTTGATTAGTCTAGAAACACAATGAGATGTGGTAGTCCTGCTTCAAATGACTGTTGCCAGCAGCAAGCAAATCGTACCATGTCTGTTCTCTGTAAAATGGATCCAACAACTTACAACTGCTCTGAAATCTTGGGGCTGGGGTGTGGAGTAGCTACTCCTAAATCTCATGAAATAACAACATTAGCTCCATTCTGAACCAAATTAAAATGCACTCTCTCCTAACACCTTGCTTGTTGCTGTTGTTATGTTCGAGTCACCCGCGGCTCATAGCAACCTTGTGTACAAACCCTCTAAATCCTGTGCTAATCTTATTGTCTCTGATATACCCACCCCTATTACACCAGTCACTGAATCAATCCATCTCATTGAGGGTCATCTTCTTCTGCGCTGTCCCTCCACCCTCCCAAGCATGATGTCCATTTCCAAGGACTGCTCCCTCCTCCTTGAAACATGCACAAAGTATGTCAGATGAAGCTTCAGAATCCTTGCCTCCAAGGAGCAGCCTGGTTTAACCCTCTCCAGAACAAACCTGATTGTTCTCCTAGCAGTCCATGGTATATTTAATGCTCTTTTCCAACACCACAGCTTGCTTAGTCACTCTTTTAAAAAAAATGGCTGGGTAGTCTATCTCATCCATTCAGGTCAAAGGCACAGTTGCACAAAGTCTAAAAAGATGAAAGAAACATTTCAGTTTTCAAGAAGGTGGCAATTGATATTCTAAACCCAGAGCACGGCTTCATTATACCTAACCCACAAAAGACGAGCGGCCAAGACTTCCCGGGTACAGGAGCAGTTAATGTGGGGACACCTGGTAACTTTCCACTTGTCAGACACCTAATAGGCTCCCAGGTATAAGGACACTCTCCTTTGATGTCTGGATAATGCAGTTTGACTAGTTCCTCAATTGGATTGAATTACAAGGTAAACAAAAGACTGTTATAAATCTAAAAACGGTATCACACACTTCATTTAAAGGAAACAGCCTAAGTGCTTGGTCACAAACACGTTGAACTTTTCTAAGTGGTGGGGGAAATAAATAAATAACTAATTAAAATGAGCTGAGTCAGTGGACTTTCTGATCTGTAGGCCACAAAGGAAGAGAACACTAGAGACAGGGCATGTCCAAGGCTCGGTGAGGTCTTCAGAGCATCAATCCGACAGGAATTGGGGTTCCTGGTAGGCAATTAAGCTACTTGGACAGCAAACTGTGAATGTCCACCCTAAACACTCCTCAGATCTCATCCTCTTGGAAGAAGTACCATCAGTACAGTGTCCCGTAGAAGCGAGAATGGTGAGACTTTGCCTCACATCCTCTGGGAAAGTATCAGGAGGGTCCAGTCCCTGGAGAAATTCACCACGCGTAGTAAAGTCGGGGGTGGCGAAAAGGAGGATGATCTTCAATGAGACAGCCTGACACAGTGACTGCCACCATGGGCTAACACACGAGGGTGGTGCAGGCCTGGCACAGTGACTGCCACCATGGACTAATGCACGGCGGAGGCCTGGCACAGTGACTGCCACCATGGGCTAACGCACGAGGGTGGCGCA